TTTGCAAAACGAATAGCCTAAAAACACTAGGAGACTGTCAATTTCTAACTAACTCTGGAACAGTCATAATAACATAACCATGTAAACTATTAACAAGTCAAATAATTTAGCCTGTACCTTTTTAAAATTAGAAGATTGGCCTAAATGAGAAGACCTAGGCTCCCAGCCCTTTTATCAGTTTTATAGAGATTTCCTCAGCCTCCTTTGACTTTGATTTGTAGGATGATTTTTACTTCCACTACAAAGCAAACTTAACAACACATTGTTACTTTTACCTTTATTATTGTTTCTACATGCACACTACACACTATAATAGTACTACTAATAACAAACTGATGATGCTACTTTTCCTAGAAACTGAAGTTTATTTCTCTTGATAAGTACTCTGTACCTTATGAAATGATAGAACTTTAACATTTTGGGGGATGATTCCTTCTCATGCCCTTCTGTCCCCTCACCTTTATCATACTCACAATGCAGGCAGTAAATGACTGCACTTGGAAAGTGGTTCAAGTGTTCAAAGAAGTTCCAGCATTGTTTATCAGAGAGTTCCCCATAGCATGAACAAAAGGCACCTTGTTTTCCCATCCTATGATGATTTAGTTCATGCTTCCAGTTCTTTAGTTAATAGCAAAGATTTTATTGCCAGGGTAATTATTCACCTTTGGAGATTAGGGCAACTATGAGGTACCCAGCAGAAGGTGCAACTGGAAGAACCATCTTATGTCAACAAATAACGAACACTAACTTCTTTGTGTGATTATTACTCAAGAGTTAACCTCTTTATGTGACTAGTACCCAATTATATGATTACAGATTTTTATGGCAGTAAATATTGTGAAGGGTAAAAACAAAGCTGCTACAAAAGCCTCTTTGGTAGTTACATGCCTTATTAGCAATGTGGCTCTGTAGCAATTCCACTAGCAGGTAGCTGTGAAACCTGTAGGAAATCAGGAAATGGACATATGCTCCTTGGTTTATTGAAGCGTCACTAAGATAGGAAAGATGACGTCTCCAGATGAAAATAGTTCCAAAGGACTAAGAACACATTTTTTTCATTAAGAAAACAAATATAATTCCAGAAAATTTCTCAAGTAACTAGAGACATTTTTAAAAAACCCTAAAACCCAACTGTTTAGCCTTTGAAAGGCTCTTATATTGTTTTTTTTCTAATTAATACTTATAGACATTCTAAGATCATTGCTTTCTTAAAGGTGTATAAAACTGAAAAATATGCACTGTTATTTCAAGAGTATTGTATTTATGGTAAAATGCCTTTGATATCTAAATATTTGATATTTGCTAAATTTTATTTAATTTGTTATTTATTCATATTAATAAAATCACATTAAAATTGAACATTTCCAACTTGTTCAGAGTTTGTCATTATGCAAGTCTTTGACTTTCTTGTGGGGAAATTTATCTTCATTTAAGCTGTTAATTATAGCGCACGCCTGTAATCCTAGCACTCTGGGAGGCTGAGGCGGGAGGACCCCTTGAAGTCAGGAGTTCGAGACCAGCTTGAGCAAGATCGAGACTCCGTCTCTACTAAAAACAAACAAATTAGCCGGGCATGGTGGCACATGCCTGTAGTGCCAGCTATTTGGGAGGCTAAGGCAGGGGGATCACTTGAGCCTAGGAGTCTGAGGTTGCTGTGAGTGAGGCTGACGCCACGGCACTCACCCAGGCAACAGAATGAGACTCTGTCTCAAAAACAAAAAAAAGAAATGTCTTAATAAAAAATAATGTTGCAGGCCAGGCGCGGTGGCTCACGCCTGTAATCCTAGCTCTCTGGGAGGCCGAAGCGGGCGGATTGTTTGAGCTCAGGAGTTCGAAACCAGCCTGAGCAAGAGCGAGACCCTGTCTCTACTAAAAATAGAAAGAAATTAATCAGACAACTAAAAAATATATAGAAAAAATTAGCCGGGCATGGTGGCGCGTGCCTGTAGTCCCAGCTACTCGGGAGGCTGAGGCAGGAGGATCGCTTGAGCCCAGGAGTTTGAGGTTGCTGTGAGCTAGGATGACACCACGGCACTCTAGCCTGGGCAACACAGTGAGACTCTGTCTCAAAAAAAAAAAAAATAATGTTGCAATTAGCTACATAGGTACGTATATGTATACTTATGCTTAATATTATAGCATCTAAAAAATTAAATAATTTCATTTACTAGCAACAACTCATAAACTGAACAGTAATCTATAAGTACAACAGTATTGTACACTGTTCTGCTACTTAATTCAGAGACCAAATCCCCAAGCAATTTGATATTTCAATTGCTACTAAACTAGAAATGCAACAATTATCATAGTTTAATATCAGCCTCAAAAGACAAAATGTGTAATTATTGAGATTTCCTGCAATTTTTCTATGACTATAAGATCTTACAATGTTTTTTAAGAACAAAATATTTCTTAAATATTTTTAGATGTATCTGCCTTAGTGTGTTTGATTTTACAATGGAAGTTGTGTCAATGGCTTTTTCTGTTCCCCCTTTATATACGACTTTAGTTTTATTTTCGTTTTAGATTGTAGCAAAACTGACTTAGAAGAGGCCATTCTAGGCTTAGTAAATATTTAGAGTTTGATAAAGCCAAAGAATATAATTCACAAAGACAATTTTCCACTTCAACTATGGTTAAGTACCTTATTAAGAAAAAAAATCCCATTATTTTTGAGTAATTTCAAATTAAAACAATAGTTTAAGGGCTTTTGAAGTCTGAATAGTGCTAAATTTAAGCCTTTTAAAAGCAAACAAATTTTCTAAAATGTAATAAATCATGTCCAACCAAGTTTCAAATTCAGAAAATTTGGGTTTGATTCCATATGCCCACAACAATGAGTCATAGGTGGCTCTAACTCTGTAACATTTATCTTTCCATTATCTAACTTTCTCAAAATTTATCCTCTTAGTAATCCTTTCTCATAAAATACAATATATCACTTTTCCAAACAAATCCCCTATTTTCATCAAGAAATCAGGTGTTAGTGTAATGATTCTTAGCATTACGTCACACTAATTTTTCTAAGTAATTTACAATTAATCAGAATTGATTTTACTACATTGACATGAGTCAAGTACAATCCCCATTTTATTGAGCATGATTGCCCTATGCCACAGATTTATGAAATTTATATGAAACTTTATATTACAGAAGTAATTTTTTTCAGTGTTTTATTATGTTTTAGGATCCCAATATACAAATAGTTTAAGTGTGAAATTTAAAAATTTATCAAAATAACACAGTAAAACCCTGTCATAATAAACTGGTATGTTATAGCATGGATATAGGCACAAAGTCATAAAATTTCTTCCAGAATGTAATTATTTATTTTTTAAAACTGTATTTCACAAGTAACTGAAAAGACGGGTAATCTTCTGTCCCTACATTGTGCCCAATACCAGTGTATATATCACTGACATGTGACTGAAACTGGCTGATTTTTTTTTACTGAATTGATCAGTGGTTTCAACTTTGTATGAAAACAGACTGAAAAGCCTTGGCATCATAGAAAGACGACTCCAGGGTGAGCTTGGTTAAAGAGTATATATACATACCATGAAGATCTACACCACCATAATTGTGTAACTTGGACCCCTCCAAAATGCTGGCACTTGACTCAGTTACTTCAGTGAGGATGTAGAGCCGCTATCTTGGCCTGAAGTGGAAAGTTGTTGTTCAAAACACAAGGTTATGCCAAAGAGTCAGAGAAATATTTTAGTGGGAAATGTCATATCAAAGACTCCACTGAAGATTATTCCTAACTATATCAATGTTCAGAGCCATACTTCTTGCATTAGTGTATCTGTCAAATTACCTGTCTTTTTGCTACATACCACCATGTAGTATTGTCCTTGTTAATACTTCCTAAACATTTTAGACAAATTATCACTGATATATATATTTGGAGTAAATAAATAGTGTCATTTTCTCCTCCAAATGTGGCCAAAAAAAGAGTTTTGCAGTTGAGTTTTCGTTATAAAATGTTATGTTGGGAGAGTGAGTGGAAACACGGACTACCAGTAAACTATTTAGAGTTTGTTCCAAGCTGGGTGCAGTAGCTTATCCCTGTAGTCTCAGCTACTTGGGAGGGTGAGGTGAGAGGACTCTTGAGGCCAGGAGTTCAAGGCTAGCCTGGGCAACATAGTGAGAGCTATGAGAATTCTGCTCTCAGTGATGTAGTTTCCAAAGATAGTGCATTCTACAATTCTAGAATTTTAAAATGAAAAGGGATATTAAAAATTTCTAGTCTTAACACTTTCATTTGACAGAAAAAACTGAAGTCCTGGCCGGGCGTGGTGGCTCATGCCTGTAATCCTAGCACTCTGGGAGGCTGAGGCGGGAGGATCGCTTGAGGTCAGGAATTCAAGAGCAGCCTGAGCAAGAGTGAGACCCTCATCTCTACTAAAAACAGAAAGAAATTAGCCAGACAACTAAAAATCTATATAGAAAAAATTAGCCAGGCATGGTGGCAGATGTCTGTAGTCCCAGCTACTCGGGAGGCTGAGGCAGAAGGATTGCTTGAGCCCAGGAGTTTGAGGTTGCTGTGAACTGGGCTGATGCCACAGCACTCTAACTGGGACAACAGAGCAAGACTCTGTCTCAAAAAAAAAAAACAAAAACAAACTGAAGCCCTAAAATTTAAATGATTTCTTGAAGGTCACGTAATTTTTTGCCAAGACAAAGTGTCGAGAATAGTGTTTTTTCTTGTTCTGAATTTTAAAATGCAAGTGTTCCATTTTAATTGTCACATATATTATAATGCCTCAATTTTATTTCTTTTTAAAACATAGAAATTGAATACAATGTTATTACTAAAAAGTATTAATCTTTCTCCTGTATTTTTAAGCTAGAAGGGAAAACAAAATGTAGAACAAATTATGATGGATTTGTCAAAGGAATAAATACCCTATATTTGGGGGCCAGTTCTACTCCCAACCCCAAAATATATAATTTCTTCTCCCTAATAGGACATATGTTGAAAATTTTTTTTCCAGAAAAGGAACATTTGACAATAAAATTTTGGGGTAAGACGTTTTTCCTAAATAAGATAAGCATAACCATCTTGTTTCAATAATTGATAATTCAGTCAGGTGCAAAGAATAAGGACTATGTGCATTTCTCTCTTTAAACGAGAAGCTGGGGCACAAGTGGTTTGAGGTGGGGAAGAAACGATAAATCTTAAAAACTCAAATGACAAGATCCTCCTGGCTGGAGAGTGAGACAAGGAAAACCACACAACCTCAGATTGTGTAATCTATAAAGACAGTAATAAAGTGACTACTTCACAGATGAAGACAGACAACTTGAACTTGTTCTTAAACTTAACAGGGGAACCCCTGCATGTGACAGGGAAAGGAAGGAACATATATGAGCGTACTATGTAGTTGCATTTAGACCTAAGGAAAGGCTACCAAAATGAATTTTTGAGCGGTTCTCCATGGTAACTTTAATGAGTCTACATTTCAGCTTTCTGTGTTCTCAACACTATCTACAGCTCAAACGCATGCAGCGTGCCAATCACGTCCATGAATTCCCAGTGTCCCAGCCAAGTGCTTTTGCCTCTGAGTTCAAAAAGCCCCTTGCTTGCCAGGGGTTAACCATGTCTGGAAGGCTCTGGAAGAGGTCTGTTGGGCAGCTGCTGTTGATAAGAGGCCTCTTGTTGGACTGGTGACCAGGAGCTGTGGGAAATCCAGAAACAAAAAGGCTCAGATAGGAACAGCAGCAAAGATATCAGCTCCAGAGTGCTGGTCATGAACTAGGAAAAGAATTAGGAGTTCCTCCCTCCTCTCCGCCAAATCCCACAGTTGGAAAAAAATGAACATCTCCCCCAAAACCCCACCCCAAGTAAATTTTATTTGCTATCTCATCCTCAGGAATGAGTTAATAATTAATTAATTAATGCAATTAGGCAAGCATAGTTGTAAACAACCCTGCTGACACATAGAGATGTGTTTTACCTTTAATTACAGGGAGAAAATAAACAGCTTGGAGTTGAGCACCTAACTTGAAGAAATTAGGAAATCATAGTCCCTCCCTGACACACCCATTAGTCCCAATCCATGCTACATAAAACCTCTTTGCATTGTGGGCTTTATTTTTCATTTTAAAAATTTTATTTTAAATTAGGTCCTCAAGAAAGAAGCTGGTATTTTCTTATTCTTTTCAGGGTTGTCTAAGAAATGCTACATCAATGGGCATCTAAGAAAAAATAGGAAAACAAGCTCTCTTTTCATTTTGTCTTTGAATCAATACCCGAAATAATGACCAGAAGCAAAACTCCACCGGTGCGTCAGCAAGCAGGATGCTCGGCCCTTCGGCTTCATCCTTCCCCTCCGAGCTGTCTGCGGCTCCTGGCCGCGGCTCCGGGCCACTAGAGCAGGTAGATAATGTAGGACAGAATGACCAGGCCTATGATGGCGAAGAACATCAGGATGAAAATATCCAGCATCGTGCAGTCCTAGGCCGACGAGGCCCTGGATTCTGGAAAACTGTGAGCTGTGAGCACGGAGGTTGCAGTCAGGCGAGGGAAATGGCTCCTCTTCCCTCCACGGCTCGGCCTCGTTCTTTCCCCTCCCACTCCCCGAGCCGAGACTGAGGGATGCTGCAGCCCCACCGGCAGCTCACCCCCCACCGACACCCTCAGCGCAGCCAGCCAATCACAGCGCCCGGGGTGGGTAGCCGGGGAGCTGCTGGATTTAGACCAGACAGCACCGAGGAGGCTCGATTTCTCCCCGGAACCCAGTCCCACCCCTTCGTGTCTAAATGGAGTCTGCACGCTATGCGTGTAGGAGGAGGTAAGACCTCTCTCCGGATAGCCCAGGAATCAATCCTCCTGACTGCCGCCGCCTTCCTTTTTCCTCTCACATCACACATATCTGGCAAATTATCTCAGAAAAATAATGGTTGAGAGTTGGGTGGGCCACTGGCAAGTTTTAAAGGTCACATCCTGGGGGGGCATGGACAAAGGTCTACTGTGGGTCTCGGCTGGCACGGGTTGCGAGGGAGGGAGCTCACGTACCTGCGAGTCCTACACTGCGCCGGGTACTGCCTCCCTCCAGGTCTGTCCTCCCTCCAGGTCGTCCATACACGGGGCTCAGAGCCGGTCAGGGACCTGCCTAATGTTTCATAGCTTAGAAATGGCAGGAACAGAAATTCGAAACTAAGCTTGGAGACTCCGAAGTCCACATTCTATTTTTTTTTTTTTTTTTTTGGCAGGGTCTCACTCTGTCCCCAGTGCTAGAGTGCAGTGGTGTCAACATACCTGACTGCAACCTCAAACTGGTGGGCTCAAGCGATCCTCCTGCCTCAGCCTCTCCAGTAGTTGGGTCTACAGGCATGCACCATGACACCCAGCTAATTTTTCTATTTTTTGTAGAGATGGGGTCTCACTCTTGCTCCGGCTGGTCTCAAACTCCTGACCTCAAATGATCCTACCACCTTGGCCTCCCAGATTACAGGCGGGAGCCACCTCACCGGGCCTCCAAAGTCCATATTCTTTCTCCTGCCCCGGACTGCCTCACCTGCGAGTCTGGAAGGCCCTTCCACCCGGCCTGCACTGCTCAGCGAGAGGCGCCTTTTGTTCACATGGCTCCATTTGCAGGTGGAGCACCAAGGTCTCTCCTCCATGTGTTCCTCCGCCTCTCTGCAGTCACTACCCAGGGTTTCGTTTCCTTGCGTATCCTCTTCAGAGAGCTCAGCACAGTGTTACACACGGAGGAGACACTGAGGACACTCAGGCCCATCCCTGTGCAGGAAGTGTCTAGAAATGCAAATTCAAGTGGTTTCCTCTGAAGAGGAAAGGAGGATTGATGTTATTGGTTCTTTCTTAAGACTCAGTTATGTCTTGTTTTGTGCCTTTTTGTAAGCCTCAAGTATTTCTTATTAAATTAGAAAATTTCCCTGGGACATTTCTGAGGCCTAGTTTCCTCGGCCTGCACCCCAAATAGTTCTTTTGAAGGGCCTGGGGTTAAGACATTAGTAAGCCCCCTCATCATGCTAGACCTCAGGAACTTAGGCCGCTTCTAGAAGGGTCTAGAAACGCCTCCCACTGGCTGGTCCCCAGGAGGCAGAGCATAGAACTTTCTGTGAGAAGGAACAGAGACTTGGCACCGATGCCCCCCAAGGCAGACCGCCCCCTCAGATCGCTCTGAAGGTGAATGAAACTTCTTGGGGGGGAGGCTGCAGCTCTGCAGAGGGGGGCACGCCCACAGGATGCAACTGCCAACTAATTCCCGCCATTGGGAGAACATTAGGCAGCCAGCTCCTTTGGGTGGGGAGTGGGTGTCAGCGCTGCCTAGTACTCCCCACACTGCTCCAGTCTGCTGGCTTGGACTCCGGCTTTCTCCAGGTTACAAATGCTCGGTTTGGGGAAAGCCCTTTTCCTCTCCACCCTTCTGTGATCCTGAGGCCAGAGAAGGCTTCAGTTCTGAGCCCCAAGTGGGAAATGCCCCTCTCCGCAGCCGGTGGGACATGAGGCCGGAGCAGCCCCGAGTGGGGGCAGAAGGGACTGGATCCCAACGTCCTCTTCCCAACCCCACTGAACAAGAGGGGAGGCCACCAGCCTTCTGGCCACAGGTCACAGACTCTGGGCACCTGAAACAAGGTACGGAGCACAAGGGACACGAATGTGAGAGCTGCCATGGTCAATCGGCCCACATGGCGAGGTGGCCCCACGTGGGACTCCGTGCATCGTACATCACATCAAAGCGCCTAAGGCCCTGGCTGCCACTGGCTGCACAACTTCCACCAAACTCCTGTGCCCTTCTGGGTCTCAGGGAGCCCTATCTGTGAGGACATCGAAGGAGTTACTTCTCTCACATGGCTGTTATTTACAGACAGATTGAAGAAAAAAGATGTGTGTTAAAGATCACATTCATAAGGTATTGTGAATAGCGCTTTGGCATGCCAGGCTGCCTTACCGACGGCTTTATCCAGATCCTGCCCCACTGCAGAACGTCCTGTCATTTCATCTTTCAAACGTGTGTAGAGCTCCCGCTACCTGCCAGGCAGCGGCCAAGCGCTACAACTGCTCCCAAGCTGGGCTCATTCATTCATTCAACAGATATTGGAGGAGCAGTTCCCTGCAAGCCCCTGGGCAGGTACTGGGGATTTAAAGATGAATTAAGACTCATCCCCTGCCCTGAGCACCCCCGCTAGTGGGGGGACAGACGGGAAGCGGAGACGAGGAGCTCAGGGAGGCTTCTGGGAGTGTCACCAAGTTGGGCAGAGAGGAATGAGTGGGTGGAAGCCAGAAGCAGGCTGGCGGGGGGTTCTCAACTAGGAGGAAGTAGGTGCCAGGGGCAGAGCAGTCCTCTCTCTGCAGGGCAGCGGGCCAACGCCCTCAAGCAGACAGGACATACACGCAGGCACACGCAAACACGCACGCGCACACAGCACCACCTCAGAGCCAGAGAGGAAACCAAGTCCGAAGGTAAAAATTATATTTTTATTTGAGTCACCAGGAGAAAGATTCACTTGTGGTTCAAGTCAAATGTTCAGAATCATAACAGGCCAGAAAGATTTGATCCCGAGCACAAGCCCACGAGGGAGAAGACCAGACAGACCAAAATAGGACAACACCCCCATATAAAAAGATGAGTGGACGCTGTACACGCACGATGACATGTTTGAACACAGGCAAGTTTCACACGGTCATTTCTTTTTAAATACAGGTTCATGGGGTGGTATTTTGTTTTTTCCAGCTATAAAAAGGGGGCCAAAAGTGCATATGTGAGGGGGGAAAGGCAGAAATTAAGCAGTGAAGTAGTTTTCCCTGGAGGGACATGAGGGGCGAAAACAGGAAGCAGAGTTGGGAGAATTCACTTTTCTCACCATTGGGCTTGCACTTCGTTATTGGTCCACGAACGTTAAATTCACATTCTAGCTTTGCTGCGCCTTTCCCGGGATTAGATTGGCCAAAAGACCTCCGTGAACTACAGAAAAGACCAGGGATTCAGCCCAGCCCTCGGGGTTCTGTGCTCTTCCAGGGATGGATGGTTCTGGCAAGGAACAAGGACGCCCAGTAAGTAGCCCCTGGGTCCCTCAGCACCAGTGTGACAGTCCCTCCTCTCTCTGGGGGTGTATAAGAAAATGGCCCCTATTTCTAGGACGGGAAGAGTCGAGGCAGGAGCCGGCAGCAAGATTCCAGTGGCCGGCTCGTCTCGTTTGGGAAGGAGAATTAAGCTGAGTGACAACGGGCTGCTGCTTGCTGCTGGGAGGTGGGACCTCCACCCACGCACTCACCACTTCCCCAACTACAGGTCCTTGAACAGGATGTGTCCCTGACCCTTGGTCCCCAAATCCACATTGTGCTTTGAGATCAAGAGGAAGTGGAATGCACCAGCGCGTCCCCAGAGGCTCCCAAGATTGCTTCTCATCTCCAAATCGCCCCGTGTAAGACACCCCGCTGCCCTCACCTAGGCCGGGGCCGGCAGGGAAAAGGGACTGTCCGGGCAGGGGCTCCTCATGCACAGGCCTTTCCTCCGTTTCTCATGTGGGGCAAATCCTCCCAAACCAGCTAAGCAGCAGTTGACAGAAACACCCACGGTGACTCGACTGCTGAATGGACTGACACCTTCAGGCCCCTTCCCTCACCTGCAGGGTACAGGTGTGCAAAGGGACAAGATGTCAACTGCGGGGCCTGGATGGACTCGGGCAAAGATGGGAGGAGGGCCCAGAGATGAATGAAGTCGGGCAAGGGTTGTCACGGCCGCCAACGAGCGGAGGGAAGGAACTGGACATAGCACCACGTTCCCTTCCCTGTCCCGGAGCCTGTGCTTCCAGGTTTGCAGCCCTGGGGTCCGCTCCCTTGCTTCAGGGGGGCTTTATGTAAGCGGGGTGGGGCGGGGCAGGGAGTGTCTGCGGGGAGGGCCCCCAGAGTGAGGCACCCACAGTGTGGGTGACACAGTGTCCACGCAGCGGCGGGCTGGAGGATATGCGTAGAGCCACGGAGCCTTCCCCCGCCTCCCCCCAGGAAGCTGCAGGCCCAGGGCAGCCCCCACCAACTCCACGCCGACCCCTTCCTCCGCCCAGCACACTGCGCAGGGCCCTCCCCTCTCGCCGTGGGTTTTGAGGAAATCGGGGGAAAACGGCTCTATGTGCCCTCACACCCCCGCACCTGCACACCCGCATCTCTCACCCCATGCTCACACTCACGCACGCCTGCCACAGACACGCGCAGACACGCACACTCCTGCCCGCGCGCCAGGTCTCGGAGATAGAGAGCGCCCGCGGGCCTCGCGCTGCTCCACGCGCACGTGGCGTCAGGCCGGCAAGGGGAGGCCGTGGAAGGCCCGAGACCCCTCCCCGGGAGGAGCAGGGAGGAGCGGCTCACCTCACCCACAGCCCGGCGCTGAGGCCTCCAGCCAAGGAGGCAGCGAGGGTCCCCGAGCCTGGGGTGGGAGTGGGGAAAAAGGGCTACGGGAGAGAACACCCTGTTCCCCTCCTGCCTGCAGCTGTCCCTAAAATCAAGAAAGGCGAGAACTTGACCCAAGCTGTGCTTCCTGGGGAGCTCTTCGCTCCCCCCAGGTCTGCGTGGGCAGGAGGGCGAAATCACAGTGAGAAGGAACGTGGGGGGATGAATTCATGCCAACGCGGAACTCCGCTCTCCTGCCGCCGCCCTCGAGGAGGGCCAGGCTGGGGAGCACGGCCTCTCCTGGGCCAGGAGCCCCGTCTTTGAGAAGAGCAGTAAAGCCCATCGCACTGGGCCCTGCGCGACAGGGACCAAGGGGTAGGTTCCACTCTGGGGAACGGAGGCCCTGCCCCGGGGTCCTGGGAATGTGGCGTTCGCCCAGCCCTGGAATGTGTGGGTGCGTGAGGCGCTGGGCAGGAGGCTGAGGCGGGGAGAAGACAGAGGCAGGGGAGGCCGGGGAGCCAACAGGTCTCCCTTTCCAGCCCGGCCTCGGCCTGCCCCAGAGAGGCCCGCGCCTGATCCATCCAGAGAGAAACCAGGAAGTCGGCCGAGGGGAAAACCTGCCGGACGAAGGAGCCCGCAGAAGTGGCAGAAGGCTTCGGTTGGCAAAAGAAGCTGGAGAAGGGGTGGGAATCACAAGCTGTCGCGGATTTTAAAAAACAGACACGGAGGGGTGGACGGGTCACGCCTAGGAGGCGAGGTGGGGGCGCCCGGGGCTCAGATGGCCTCCACGTAGTTGGCGGGCAGCATCCCTGTGTCGCCCGTGCGCTCCACCGTCCCATACATCCAGCCGTCGTCGATCTGCTGCACGTTGACGATGGTGTCCCCGTCCTGGAAGGAGACCTCGTCCTCGTCGGCGGCGCTATAGTCATACACAGCGCGGTACCGCTTCTGTGGAGGGGAGCGCGGTCAGCCGTGGCCCTGGACACGGGCTCGCCTGGTCTGGGCACGGCTTCCTAACTCTCCAGGACCCCGGAGCAGAGCAGGGCAGCAGGGGACCAGGGACGGGGCACCAGGCTCTCGCCTCTGTATAACCAACCTTTTACAATGTGCTTGGCGCCTACCGAGGGCCAGGTGCAGGGCGGGGACTGAGGTCACATCAGCTCTGCCCCACCTCCCCAAACAGGGGATGCAGTAAGGTCCAACGGACACAAAGCCAGACAGTGTCTAAAAATATGGCATACCCTGTATGCTATTATTTGTATTATTATAAGCGCCAGTGTTTTCTTTTTGAGGCTATGAAGAGTCTGGGAGAAGACGCCCAAGTTCAGGACAAAGACCTTTTCTTGGGAGAAAAATCTTCAGGGGACGTAAGAGCATCTGTCAGGTGCCACCTTCCAAACCTCAGCCAGAATCTTCTGCTGAAGCCCAGCTCTAGGAAATGCCCAGCAACGCCACGTGACACCCACGTGATCTCCAAGGTGGGCAATGTTCTAACCTCCTCTCACCTGCACTGCCCTCGACATCGGCTTGTCTCTGAGGCTCCACAGGACGCTGAAAGCCACAGCCCTCTGGGATAAGAGGTCACACTGCTCATGGAGTGAACTCGGCCTCTCTCGTCTCGGTCTCTATCTGCATCCAGCTACGGCCTCCCAGCGTGTCTCCTGCCTCCCCCTCAACTTCTACTGCCCCTTCTCAACATGGCTGCCAGAGTGATCTTCCAAAAACCCAAGCCTAACCCCGTCGCTCTGCACAGATTGCCAGTCCCAAAGGCCTTCCTGTGACCTGCGAGTCCCTGCACAATCTGACCTCCTATCTGCCTCCCCTCGCTGGGCACCCTGGCCTTCCTGCTAGTCCATGAACTTTCCTAGAATATTCTTTCTGCCTCAGGACCTTTGCACTTGCTGTTCTCCTTGCACCACTTACTCCTTTATCTGACTGAGGACTTTGCTCAAACGTCATGTTTTGACTCTGCTGCTCTCTGTCCCTCAACCTTACCCTGCTGTCTTTTTTCACAGCACGTGCCATTACCTGACCTTAAATTGTATACTTATTTATTGCATTCTTGTTTGTCTCTCTGACTGGAAAATAAGCTCCCGGAAGGAAGAGAGGTAGCAGCCGTGGGGCCACATGTGGCCTTCTGGATCCTTGAATGTGGCATTTTGATGGAATCCAAATTTTACAGAACAAATCCTTCCAATGAAGGGATTTGTTCTGTGAAGTTTGGATTCGGTCAAGGGGCCACCCTTTCTGGAGGACCACATGTGGCCTTGAGGCTGCAGGTTCCCTGCCCGCTGGAACCTCATTCTTCAGACGACCTCTTGGGTTCGCCTGGTGCCCCAGACAGCACTGATACCCCTTGTGTATGTGCCCAGGGCAGGAGGCTCCAGCGGGCCACGTATCTCAGGCTATTTTTCTTTTTTTTTTTTTTTTTTGAGACAGAGTCTGGCTCTGTTGCCCGGGCTAGAGTGAGTGCCATGGTGTCATCCTAGCTCACAGCAACCTCAAACTCCTGGGCTCAAGCAATCCTTCTGCCTCAGCCTCCCGAGTAGCTGGGACTACAGGCACGCGCCACCATGCCCGGCTAATTTTTTCTATATATTTTTAGTTGTCCAGCTAATTTCTTTCTATTTTTAGTAGAGACGGGGTCTTGCTCTTGCTCAGGCTGGTCTCGAACTCCTGAGCTCAACCGATCTGCCTGCCTCAGCCTCCCAGAGTGCTAGGATTACAGGCGTGAGCCACTGCGCCCGGCCAGGCTATTTTATTTCTGTATCTGTCTCTCCCGTGGCTCAGCTGCACCTATCAGTGGGATAAACAGCAGGACTTACAGACCGAGGACTTCAACTCTAAGGACTCAGTGAGCCTGATCCCGCCCCCGTCCTACCTGTGCCCATTCATTTATTCAGCATGGTTGATGAGTCCTACTGTGTTTGGCTCAGAGTAGGGGAAGCAAAGGAACGTTGCCCGGCCCCCGCAGAGCTCAGTCCCACAGGGGACAGAGAAGTGAGCAAACACAGAAGTCTTTTACACTAGACAGAGTGCTCCGGAGGAAGCCAGTGGGGTGCAGTGATAGACAGCGTCAGGAGAGACCCACTTCACGTGGCATAGTTTGGGAGGGCCCCTCAGAGGCAGGGGCAAGCAGAGAAACTAAAGGACATGGGGGGTCCTCCTCATGGAGAGTGGGATCAGGGCCAGGTCTGGAAGGCCCCGTGCAGAAAGGGGCTGTGTGTGTTCCCAGGGAGCCGGAGTAAGGAAACCTGGCCTGGGGCGGCAGGGACTGACTTGCCCGAGGTATGCCCAGGGCTGGGACGCAGGGCCCTAATCCCAGCCAGGCTCTGCCCACTACACCACACTTCCTCTCCGTTCACAAGGCTGAGATCCCTGAGACCCACACAGACAACAGGGGCCAGGGTCAAAGTTCAGGAGAATCCGTGCCCTGTGTCCAGGGGGCCTTCCCTGAAGCCCACCCCACGTGGCCTCTGCCCTCCAGCCAGGGCTACTCACCCCGCCGCCGCCTGGGGCGCTGCGCTGTATGGAGACAGGGGCCGCAGGCTCCTTGTAGCCACCATAGGACTGGGCCGCCGGCTGCTGCTGGGGCTGCTGGTAAACTGCAGGAGGAGGTGGGCTCGGAGACGGTCCTGCCGACCCAGCCCTCCCAGAACCCGCATCACGCGTTTGCACCAGCCCCGCCTGGCTCAAGCCCCACTGCTCAAAGGCTTAAGTCCACGTGTGCACACGCGCTGGTACCATGTATCCTACAGCAGGGCTGTGTGCCCTACCGCGTGGGTGCCTGCCCTTCGGGTCCCCAAGGCCCAGCACAGGCCTGACCCTCGTGCTGCCTGGGGATGGGGGGTTTGTGTGTGTGTGTGTGTGTGTGTGTGTGAGAGTGTGCATGTGGACAAAGCTTCTCCCACCTCCTCTGCATCCCAGGACTAGCCTGGCCACAGGTCCCCGGCCCCACTCACCCGGGGCACTGGTCGGGATGTGGTGGGGCTGCTGCTGCTCCGGGGGCCGCCGGTAGCTGCTGCCGTCCTGGGCGTCCCGGCGCTCCGGCTCCATGCCCTCACCCCCGCTGGGGCCCATGCGGCTCTTCTCAAACTCCTCATGGTACTTTATCTGCAGGGGCAGAAGGCGCTGGGTGAAGGACCCCAGAGCAAACCAACCGGTGCCCTCCCGTCGGCACTCAAGATCCCGGGTGGGAAAGACGCCCCCAGGGCTCCAGGCAGAGAGCCAGGCCTGTGCCCTTGCACGAAGCGCCTAACCTTGCCAAGCCTCAGTTTCCATCTCTGCAAAATGGGGTATCGGTGTCTTGCTCAGGTGTTGTTGGAGGATGCAATGAGATGACAGATGGGAAAGGGCCACGAAAGCTGAGGACTCACACAAATGTGAGCTGTCATTTTTATGTGCCCGCGGCAGGGGCTCCCGCCTGGCCAACAGTGCCCCCAGCAGCAACTCCTGCTTCCTGGGCTCTCACCACGTGCCAGGCGCTGCAGCAGGTGCTTCACATCACAGGCTCATTTGACCTCGCCAGCACCTACGAGGGGGACAGCGCAGTCCCCGTGTAACAGTCAAGGAGGAAACAAAGGGGCCAGGCGCGGCGGCTCATGCCTGTAATCCTAGCGCTCTGGGAGGCCGAGGTGGGAGGATCGCCTGAGGTCGGGAGTTTGAGGCAACAGTGAGCTGTGATGACACCACCGCACTCTAGCCCAGATGACAGAGCAAGACACTGTCTCAAAAAAGAAAAGAAGAAGGAAACAAAGGCGCTGACAAGTGAAGTGAGTTGCCCAAGATCACGCAGGTTCCAAGGCCTTGCTCTCCCTCACTAGGTGCATGAAGTCACTGAGGCCAGAGTCTAGGGATGCTCAGCTGAGAATCTCAGACTTGGGGACAAGAAATGCCGGACCCTCTCCGAGGGTGGGATGCTGTCTTGGAGATGGGTCCCTCCCTTTGTTAGTTCCAAAGTGGGCAAAGAGAGGCCCAGAAATCACGCCACTCAAGACCACCCCACTGGGCAGGCATGTGAGGCTCCAACCCCTCAATTCAGCTTCTTGCCCTCACAGGGCACTGTTGGCTACAGGGACCCCCGCCTCTACCACCATCACACAGGAGTCTTAAACTGAGCCTTGTGGTGTTTGAGGACCGAGACTTGTGCCTGCTTGGGGCCGGGAGCATGAGCTGCCAATGTCAGGAGGGTCAGGGAGACGCAGGTGCCCACCTTGAGAAGTCAGGAGAGGGGAGGGAAGCTGCACTCTCTGCCCAGACTCTTGGGCGCTATGACAGAGGACTTGGCCAGTGTTGGGGGCAGCCCCTGCCACCTCCATCACAAAGACCTAAGCAGGGTCGGCCAGAAGCACCCACCCCAACCACCAGAAAGGGACCTCAGGGCCAACTGGTCCCTTTGTGTCCCAGGCCCCAGCCCCAGCTCAATCCTCCTGGCCAACTGAGTCGGAGAGGAACAGTCCCTCACCCACCTTGTCTTCTTCAAGTTGACTCCCAGGCTAGGGCCAGAGCACAGGCTCACGGTTTCCCCAGCTGGATTCAGACCCCAACCAGCCCCAGTTCTCCTCCATTTCCCATCCTCTGTGGCACCTCTTCCAGCCCTTTCCTCCTCCTACTTCTGAAGAACTGTCTGGATGGCCTTCTGGGATTGTGCCAGACTCCCAGAGGGAAGCCTGCAAAGGTCTCTGGGATCCCGGCCAAGGGCCAGTCTCTGGAGAGTCACCGGCCGCTCCCTGTGCCTGGTGGCGTCCAGGCCCCGCAGCCGCTGGCCTGCTGCTCCCCTTCCTCTGGTGCTCAGCGTGGCGTGATGCCCTCAGTCTGCCATCCAGCTCTCACCCCATACGAGCCGTCTCCAGCCCAATGCTGGGCCAATATGGGACAGAAGAGGAGACAAGGTCCTTATTCCCAGGCACCCCATCTCAGGTGGGCCGTGAGGCTAGCATGAGGTGCACCCACGGCAAGAGCTACACAAGACACGCAGATGGTAATGATCTAGGCCGCCCCACTGAGTGTGGCTGACGCTGCCCCCAGCACGTGGATGTCAGATGCTGCTCTCTGTGGGCACCATGCACAGTCCACTCCTTCTTGTGACAGCCAGCATGACCAGGAATGGAGGGGGGAAACCTGCTTCTGGAAACGCGGCATATACCCCAATCACAGGCAGCCTTTCCATGTTCTCTGCTGGCCCTTCCTTCCATGGATCCACTCTGTGCCCAAACCTGGGCCATCTGCTGGGGCCGAGAGGAAGAATAAGGAGGAAAAGTGGGTCCCACCGTCAAGATTGGTCTGTTGGGAAGGAGGTTCTGCAACAGTAACTGTCCCCCAGGATGGAAAGGTGTGGGCTTTGTTAATGGGGGCCTGAGGTTCCTTCCTCCTGGAGTCAGGGGAAGGCCTCTTGGAAGAGGTGACCTTGGGGCTAAGCTTGGAAGGACGAGGAGGACTTGAAGGTGCAAAGGGCAGGAAAGCACAGGTCGGGCATTCTGGGAGTTCACGTGTGCAGATGCCTGGGATGGAGGGGCGGGGGTCTTCAGGGTGGCCAGAGCTTAGGAAGGTGGGACAGGGAGGGGAAGAGGGAAAGGTTGACTCAGGGGTGCTCAGACGTGGACCTGGCCAGAGGGGCCCATCCTCTGGACAGTGATTGGCTCAGGGATGGACACATGACTCAAGCTGGGCCAATCAGAAGCCTGCAGAGATCTTTTCTACAGGAGCTAAGAGGAAGCAGGTAGAGCACGCAGGTCTGGGGCCCCTGCTGGCCATCTTGCCCACCCCATTGGAGAGTGCTCATCTCAAGAACAAAGCTAAACGAGGACAGAGAATGACAGTCTGGTTGGTCCAACTGTGACAGAAACAAGATCCCCTGGCCTTCCCAGTCAGATGAGACTTCCCGGTCGAGACTCACATACACATATTGTTGCCCCAAATGGTAAAACACCTCCCGCAGAACCTATTTATGGGGGCGGAAGCCTGGCCAGACTGGGAACCCCTCGCTCCCGCCAGGAAAGGCAGCCAGGCTCTCCCAGACATGGGCCAACGTCCGGCTCTCAGGTCCCTAAGACAAGGGTGACGGGTGAATCCCCCAGCTGAGCCCCTAAGTATGCCCCTGTCCACTGGCAGCAGGCGAACGTGGGGATGAGGGAAGGAGACGTGTGTAGCAGGCCCAGTTGACACACGTCCCTCAATCCTCCCCACAAGCTTCTGAGGCAGCACGGCTACAGCCCTGGTGACCAGAGAGGCTAAGGACCCTGCCAAGGTCCTGCAGACAAATGGTGGCAAAGGGAAGGGTTAACCTCAGTTTCCCCATCTGCTCCCAGGAGGCAGCCCACCCTCCCCACTCGGGGCCGTCCAGCCTTCTCTCCTCCTTCAAGGTCCCTCTCAGCACCTCATCCCTGGGCCCCTCGTGGGCTCCCACAACACCCAGGACCGGGCTGTGCTGTCAGTGCCTAGTGTCCCCTGCTGGATGGAAGCTCCTGGAAGGTGGTGACGCAGCCAATTATTCTGATCCTGGGGCCTCCCACAGCACTGCCCGCCCTAGGCCTCAGGGGGTTCCACTGACCAGGACCCTGGGGACCCTGCCGCTATATTTCTTAGGATCTTGCCTCTGGACTACCTGCCTCTGGCTCCCCTGGACTGTTGGTTAGAATGTAGGCTCTGGGGCCTTCCAGAGAATCTACAAAATCAGGGCTGGGGTTTTGGAATATGCATTTTAAAAAAGCACCCCAGGTGAGCCTGAAGCAGGCTCCCGTCTGAGAACCAGAGGTCCAGGGCAGAAGGTGGCAAACTATGCTCCATGGACCAAATCCAGCCCACGCCTGTTTGCCTGTTTGCTTACGGCCTGGGAGCTAAGAATGGGTTCTACAATTTTTAATGCAGTTGGCGGGGGAGTGGAGAAGAAGAATAATATCTCATTATTTCATGACACATGAAATTGCTCTGAAACTCAAATTTCAGTCTCCAGAACTAAAGTTTTATTGGAACACAGCCACAGGCGCTCATTTACCTCTTACCTATGGCTGTTTTCACGGCGTCGCTACAGCGCCAAGGAGCTGCCGCGGAGACCATATGGCCTGCAGAGCCGGAAATATTTACTGCCTGGCGTGTTACAGAAAAAGTTTGCTGACCCTTGCTTGCCAAAATACTTCGACTGCATACTCCTGTTGGTTAAATATTTTAAAGAACAATCCTCCTGCATTATGTGTATTTTATAAGTTGTATAGAAATAACACTTTATAAATATGGTATGTATATTTTAAAACTTACATAAAAACTATGAATAAGAAAAGTATGAGATGAAAAAAAAGCAGAACCAGCAGTTCTAAGGTTTTCTTCCTGTACACTCACTGGGATGTGTTGCCCACACCCAGCCTTGAAGACCCTCGGGGGGTGGGAGGGGGGTCTGTTCTCTTCACTTTTCGGGGAGGAAACTGGTTGGGGGGGTGGGAACAACCCAGGCAAGGTGCTAGGGCCCAGGGTTTGAGTGCTCTGTGAGCACTGGGCTGGCCTGCGGTGGGGAAGGAAGTGGGACAGAGAGTGACAGCCCTGCACCACCCCCCAAGGGAAACTTGGAAAGCAGGACACCAGGACAAGAGAGAAACTGGCCCTTCCCAGGTAGGCCCAGGCCCTGAATTCTCTCCAAGCCTTGGGTACATGACCTGAAGCGGTTCTCACTTCCTGTCCACCAGGATCCTGCCTTTTCCTGATCCTGGGAAATAGGGTGGGAGTCGGGGGACAGGGAAAGAGGAGGGGCTAAGCCTGCTCTGTGTCCTGGAGATCCCCTGCCCAGGAAGCCCCTGGCCGGGGCCTGACCCATGCTCTCCCGCATGGGACAGTCCCCTTTGCTCATCCACCCCCCACACTTTCTCTGCTGCTTTCTCTCCCCCTTGGCACTTGCCACTGGCCCTGTATGGAGGGCAAGAGTTAATAGCTGGGCTGGAGGAGCAGTTTGTTCCTGCAGCCTGGGCTGGGGGAATAGTCCAGGAAGCTGCAGAGCCCAGGACAGAGTCTGGGACAGGTACAGTCTGGACGCAGAGAGTGGGTCACTTAGGGGTTTAGGTCAGGACCAGCCCCTCCTTTCCCTGCCTCCTGCCTTCATGCCCAAGCAGGGACCCACATGCAAGGGC